GTGTGTGTGTGTGTGTGTGTGTGTGTGTGTGTGTGTGGTCATGAGGACACGGTTGGGATACAGCTAAAGGGTTTTGTGGAAGACCCAGGCAGTGCCATCTCCTGCCCCGTTAGCTAGTGTTGCATGTGTATGGTGGGATTTCAGGAGAGCTAAGGATTGTGGGTTGAAACCATGGAAGAGCCGAGTCTAGCAATTCTAGAACATTAGGAAGCTTCCCTGTCCCCCCCGCCCCCCACCCCCGCTGTTTCTAAACATGGTGAGCACCTGGACAGAACAGGTGAGGGAAGCCAATGGAGCTGATGGGCTCCGGTACCAGGCATAGGCTGTGCCCTCAGGAGGAAGCCATGTGCTCAGCTGGGCCCTTCTGCAGGATTGAGGTTTACTTGATGGCCATAGGGGGTCAGGGATTGGGAGACGGGCAGGGCAGTCTGGGAAGACAGGTTAGATCCCCAGGAATGGGAATGTGTGGCTTTCTCCAGTGAGTCTGAGCCTCAGGGCCAGACATGTCAGAGAGGCTTGATCCCTGAGAGGAGCAGTGGTGGCAGCAAGGTTGCAGAAAGGGCTGTGTGATGGGCTGGCCAGGCAGCACCCAGGGCTGGGACAGTGGTGGGCGACAAAGCTGCCTTCCTATCTCCGGGGAGGCCAGAAAGTGAGAAGAGGGCTCTCTAGGGAAGGACTTTGGGGGAAAGCTTGGGGTCCTTTTGGCTAGAGCAGGAGAAGACCAAACAGCAGAGGCAGGATCCACAGCCATGGATCCGTGGACACCTGTTGTGCCAGCTCTTCTGAAACAGCGTAAAGGTGGTCAGCCTCTGGGTATCCAGGCTTACAGATTCCCGCTCAGAATGTTACCTATGGGGCATTTAGCCCCTTTGTGCTGCGCACATGTTACATAGAGGAGGGAGCTTTGATCTAGGACAGCTCCCTTGTTTTACAGATGAAGACAATGAGGCACAGGAGGGTGGAAAGACCAGCAGTCATGACCACACACTGCTGGTGGCAGATGTGGGATTCACCCTGTAAGCTTTCTGTTGAATTTTAACTTCTCAGCAACACGACAGTTTTAATAAATTCACCTCGGTATTGGATTCTTTGATCAAAATGAAAAGTTACGATGCCTTTAGTGCATTTTAGGCTCTATCACTCTTCTGTGCATTAAAACATTATAAAGTTAGTATTAGCTTACCTAGGAAAATCAAAGCAAAAGAAAGCTTTTGAGCCACTTGTCGGAGTTAAGCTTCCGATAAATATAGTTTTTTAAGTTAGACACCATAATGTACCGGAAGTTGGAAAGGCCCACGAGGTGGTGCTGTTAGGGCAGCTCACCGGAGTGTCCCGTGTCCTCTGCCCTGTAGATTCCTTCCATCCTGAGGCTTAGCACTTCCTTCAAAACCCTGAGTTCTCAGTCACGTTGACAAAACTACATTTTTGCCTATTTATCAGCAATCTCTTATTGAGAGGTGGGTCAGCGGTTCCTACACCATCAGCAAAGTTAAAACTAAATGCAAGAAACATTTATTAAATGTTCAGGAACATTTGGGAAAAGTTATGTAAAGACCTCTTTTATACTTGCATGGTGGGCACCCTTTCAATTGCTTCAGTGATGTTTTCCCCCAAATCTGAATTTCCACATCAAGGTTTCCTTTGCATTTGGGGGGGTGTCCTCATAAAACTGTCAGCGAGAGACAATCTTGATATAGATGCCGTTCTTCGGACCTAGGGCAGATTTGGATTCTAGCTGCAGTGGTACCTAAAATAGAGGAGATTAAGATAATTGTTATAGCTAACCACATCTATAGGAAAGCTTTTTGGAACTGGGCCTGAAGCGGGGTTGTGGAAATCTGAGAGACAGCAGGGCTGAGGGAGCAGAGCAGCCTCCCCAGCATGGCCTTGAGAGGCCAGCAAAGCTGCCGCTCAGGGAGGCTGGGCGCTGGGGCCCCACCAGCACATGGGTGCTCAGCCCTTTTGTCCATGTTAAAAAAATACTGTAAGTGAGGAGGGTACTCAGTCCCACATTTATCCTCCCAAGAAGCCTGTGTAAGAGGTACTGGTGGCTCACTTTGCAAATGAAGAAATGGAAGTTCAAAGAGGCCAAGTGACATGTCTAAGGTCACGTGCCTGGCAAGTGAAGAGCAAAGTCTCAAACTGTCCCCTCTCCTACTATTCTCACTCCCTGGGGCCCTGCCAGTAGCCAAGCAGCATCCCCTCTTTTCAAGTGGCTTTGGGAGAGTGGCTTCATACTGTTCCCTTCTCATGAGTGCTGTGGTCTAGCCTCCCTGCATTCAGAAAGCTTTCCTGATGTCCAGCTTACAAGGCAGATGGGTGGTGGACTGGGGACTTGGAATAAAAGCCAAAGAATTACTCAAGAAGCAGGGTGTCCCCCTGAGCCCCGTGTAAAATGATGGTTCAGTGGCTAATGTGAACACTTTAAAGGAAAGAAGCATCGCTGGGCCTTAGTGCTGGGCCTTGGGTTTTCCAGATGTCTTTGGGAGTTTTAGTTCAGATGGGAGAGAAGTTCTATGACCAAGAAACAAGATGGACTAAACCTGTGCTACCCCACCAGTAGCACATGTGACTGCTGAGCATTAGAAATATGGTTAGTGCAAACGAGGGGCTAAATTTTTAATCTGATTATTAAAATTTAAATAGCCAGATGTGGCTAGCTGCTACTGTATTAACACAGGTATAGACAAAGTGGAAACACTACTGGACTTCAAAAAAGGAGGTTGGCTGGGGCTGGCAAATTCAGGGAGAGCTTCCTGGAGGAACGTGCCCTTTAGGTGGGGCTAGGAGTCGGAGAAGCCTTGTGAGCAGCACTTCTCAGGGGCCACTTCAGGATATAGGGGAATACCCAAGGATCTGGAAGATGGGATTAGGCTGGGAACAGAGGAGTGGGAGAGATGGCATTCTAGGTAGGGAAGAGCAGGTAGAACTCTCGGGGTGGGAATTTGGGGCAGGGAATACAAAGTGGGCTCAGACGAGCTCTCCTTAGAGCTGCTAGGCTCAGGGACTCAAGGCTGGTTCTTGAGCTGGGGAATGCCAGCCATAAGCAGTGTTTTGGGACAATGGTCTGGCTACTGTGCCGTTTGTCAAGATCAAGGGTAAGTGAGACAAATCCCAAAAGGAAGTCCTGCACACATGGAACTCCTACCTCAGGTAGGGGTCCGCTCTTGTCTCTGTTGGTTTGGCCCTGTGCTCCCAGTTTGCACCTCTCTGTCTAGCCTTGAACCCAGTCTCCCTGTTCGTCAGAGGCAATGAATGCCACTGTTTGAATCTAGAAGTTCTCCATTCATCACTGGGTACTTATTATTTGTTCCCTTATGCACCCCCTGTCCAGCCATGCACAGGGGCTCTGAACAGGCATGGAGGGGCACAGTGTTGTTATGTAGGGAACAGCCAACATGGCAGAGAGGTGGCTCCATGTAGAGGAAGGAGCGAGGCTTGGGGGCGAGCCCAATCTGGTGTGAGCCCCTTTCTTCACTCTCTGGCTAGTCATTCATTTGCTAATATTTGTTCAGTGAAGGTGTGAGTACCTGCCCTGTACCTGCTGCTGGAAGCTCCAGCAATGAATCAGACAGACTTTTGGTTCCTGCCCTCACAGAGCCTGTGGTATATGGTAAACGTAGTATAAGGCCTCAGGCAAGTTACTTAACCTCTCTGAGCTTTATTTTAGCTCCTCATCTGAAGAATGGGGATAACAAAACCTACTCTGGGGGATTACTGGGTTCTCATTGCCGAGGAGAGAAGAGGTACAGCTTCCCTGTACACAGAACGTTAATAGTAATAACAGCTAACACTCGGATGATGTGCCAGGCACTTACCTGAGTGCCTGTACTGGCTCATTTAAGCCTTGCACGGCATGAACAGGGAGGAGGTGTTATTACCGACCCCCTTATACCGATCAAGGCCTCTTGAGGCCAAGAGGGATTAAGGATCGGCCCCGCCATGAGAACTGGGGTGGGCACCCCCTGTGCCCGGGAGAGCGAGCTCACCTGCGTCTCTGGGCAGGCCTCGAACCGGAACTCACGCAGGACGTGGAGCAACGTCAGCTTGATCTCCAGCAGCCCCAGCCGCACCCCGAGGCAGCTCCGGGGGCCCGCCCCGAACGGCAGGTATGTGAAGGGACGTCGGCGCCGCCGGGCCTCTGCCGTGAACCTGCGAGGGCCGTGCAGTCAGGGTAGGTCAGGGTAGGCCTCGGACACCCCGCCTCCCTTCCCCTTCCTCTGCAGCCACTCGGTGTGGCTGAGGGAGCCCTTCATCTGAGGCCACGCTCCTACCAAGTGAGCCTGAACCCCACCGTGCTCAACAGAATCCTGTTTTCACGCGGCCTCCTCCCTCTCTGGAGCAGGTGGCTGCTGATCCCTGAGCTTCAGTCCTGCCCTCTCCTGGGTCTGGCAGAGCCCCAGAGGCACTGCTGATGTAAAGGAATCACCTGGAAGGCCCACTTTGCCCTCTCGCCCTCTCCTTAAGAATTGATTGTGCTGTTAACGAGCCTGAAGGCTGTGATTCACGAGGATAAAAGTCTTGAGAAAGCACAGCCCTCCCCTGGGCCTGTGGCACCAAATTTCCCATCAGCCAGCGGAGGGCACCAGCCATCACCAGCTTCCTGAGCAGAATTCCCCAGGGAAGCAGCCCTCCCTGGAGGCCACTACCTGCGAGTTTATCTGTTGGTGCCATTCGGGACAGCTATCTCCCCTGCCCACACTTGCCCTTCTGGTTCAAGTGACACCTGAACCATTGGGTGCTTTCCTAATGGGAGGCCCTTCCGCAGGAATTCTCTCCTACCTGCTACCAAATAGCATTTGCCACATGTGTTCTGTGACAGTAGAGCCAGGTGTCAACTACTGTGTTGTCACAGCTCGCTTCTTACCTGTGCATTTTTCTGGGCCTAGGAGCCCTTGACCCCCTGCCCCTTTTCAAGTAGGATTAATGCACTTTTTTGTTTCCAAAGATGATGCTGTAAGCCTTACAGCTGCAGTCCAGGGTGCTTGATATTTACTGTATTTCCGAGCCGCTACGCACTCGATGTTATTGATCTAGGTGCCACCGCCCACAGGTTCCCAGTGAGGAGGTTGTAGAGTCCGGGCTCCTTTCCACAGAATGTTGTAAGTCCTACAGGTGGAAACAGCCCGCCCGGGGCCTCCCCATGGCCAGATCACACAAGGAAGGGCTATGGATTGATTCTGACGCGGAGGGTGTGGACGCCTGCTCATTTTAAATCTGGGATCCTTGAAATGAAGTTTAGGCAACGGACCAAATCCGTGTAGGGGGCAGGAGTGGGGATCCAGGTCTACTGTGTTAGCATACCTGGATCTCATGAATTCAGGGAGAAATTTAGTTGATAACTCTTACTTAGGAACAAGCTCCAGTTTTTTAAAAAGGAAATCTATTGTTGCTTCCCAGAGCACACCTGAAATACAATCCTGTGTCCTGTTTCCCGGCTTGAAGAAACCGAGGGCCCCCAATTGAAATTGCCTTGTTACTTGCATGCAGGGCTGCTGAAACGCTACATCTCTGGATTCTGTTGGGGGCTTTTAAAAATGGTACCGGTATTTCCTTTGGAAATGATGCCTCACAAATATCTCACTCCCATGACTTTTGACTGGGGGCAACTTTACTAAATCGGTGTTTCCCCTTGGCCGCTTCCAAGGGCCTGCCTCTCGTGTCCCTCGGGGGCCCATTTGAAGGCACTGAGCTCACCTCTCAGGGTCGAAGGCCTCGGGGTTTGGCCAGTACTCAGGGTCATGGTGCAGGGCGCCCACCGCCATCTCCACCACGGCGCCTGCCGGGATACGCTGCCCCTGAACCTCACAGTCTCGCGCCGCCTCTCGCGTGAACCTGCGGGGACACACGGGTCAGCCCCCCCC